CTGAGAGGCAGCAGCTCTACCAGTTGTGCCACCGTGCTGCCTCCTGAATGACCAATAATGTTCAAATTTCAACTTAAGGTGAAAGCAAATAATAACTATACCAATATTTTTGATGGTACTGCCTTGGTTTAGCTCTACTGTATGGTTTGCTGGCGTTGCTTCTGACCAGTGTCTTTACATTCACATTAATATCTAGGGCAGCTTTCTGATAATCGTGTAATAATACTAAAAATCACAAACATCTTGTCTTAAAATGGTAATCCATCCATCCATTATCGCCTGCTTTTTCTGAAGTCAGATTGCAGGACCAGCAGCTGGTATAGGCCCAGGCATCTCTTTCCACAGCCACCTCTTCCAGCTCTACTTGGAGGAGCCCAAGGCGTTCCCAGGCCAACCAAGAGACGTAGCTCCAGCATGTCCAGGGTCTTCCCTGGGGTCTCCTCCCAGTTGGACATGCTCGAAGCACCTCTCAAGGGAGGTGCCAAGGGAACATCTTTACCAGATGCCCAAACCACCTCAAATGGCTCCTTTCGATGCGGAGGAGTAGCGGTTCTACTCTGAGTCCCTCCCAGATAACTGAATTTCCCGCCCTATCTCTAAGGGAGAGTCCAGCTACCATGAGGAGGAAACTCATTTCAACTGTCTGAATCCGCAATCTCGTTCTTTCAGTCATTACGTATAAATAAAGGTTGATTGATTACCCAGAGTTCATGACCATAGATGAGGGTAGGAACGTAGACCAACCGGTAAACAGAGAGCTTTGCCTTACAGCTCAGCTCCCTCTTCACCACAACGGACTGGCACAGAGTCTGCAATACTGCAGACACTGCACCAATCAGTCTGTCAATCTCATGCTCCATTCTTCCCTCACTCATGAACAAAACCCCAAGCTATTTGAACTCCTCCACTTGAAGCAGAACCTCACCCTCGACCTGAAGACAGCAAACTCAATCACACTTGGCTGCGAACCGCTCAAGTGAGAGCTGGAGATCACGGCACGATGTAGCCAACAAGACTACATCATCTGCATAAAAGTTATGAACAGAATCGGTGAGAACGGGCAGCTCTGGCAGAGTCCCCACTCCCATTTAATGGAGTTAACAGGTCTTAAAGTGATATTTAAAAAAAAAACACTGGACAGTGCAGGAGCTTGCAGTTTCCTGTGTTTGCATCTTGACTGCCAAAAAAAACCCAGAAAATGAAAAATCACCAACCGCTGTTTCACTTTTAACTATGACACACATTCACCGTGCCATTATTTTGGTAAGATATTGATGATGGGAGTACCCGACTGTTATAGGAAGTCTTGTTCAGCACATCCCAAAACTGTCAACAGTGTTATGGTTTCAACTCTGTGGTCACCAATCCATGTGTAAAAACAGCATCTTGTGTTAACTGAACCACCCTTTTGCTTCCAACCTACAAAGCTCTCAACAACCTAGCTCCATATTATATTTGAGATCTTATTATTCCATATTTTCCTAACAGAGCACTTCGCTCTCAAACTGCAGGCTTACTCATGGTCCCTAGAGTTTCCAAAAGCAGAATGGGAGGAGGATCTTTCAGTTATCAGGCTCCTCTCTTATGGAACCAACTTGCAGTTTCTGTCCATGAGGCTGACATTGTCCAGTTTTAAGACTGGGCTTAAGACTTTCCTTTTTGATAAATCCTATAATTAGAGTTGGCTTGTTATGCTGCCATAGGCTTAGACTACTAGAAGACGAATTAACCTAATTTCCTTAAATTAATTCTTAAAATTGATTAGTTTTCATTTGATACTATTTCTATCGTAACAATTCTTGACCTGCCATTGTGTATCTGTTCCTCCTTCCTGTTCCTCTCAAACCTAGCCGGTCAAAGCAGATGGCCGCTTGTCCTGAGCCTGGTTCTGCTAAAGGTTTCTTCTTCATGAGGGAGTTTTTTCTTTCCACTGTCACCTTGATGCTTGCTCAAGATGAGAGTTCTGTGATGGAGTTAAATCCAATGCAGTCTGCTCCTCAGATAAATGTTAAATTATTATTTTTTATGTATGGATGTTTCTGTTCAGTACCCTGAGATGACTTCTGTTGTGACTTGGTCCTATATAAATAAACTGAATTGAATTTTTTACAATTTGAGTGAGTTGAATTCTGCTATTATCAATTTGGAATAGGACCATGCCATCAGGAAGAAAACAATTGAACAAAATGAAGAAAAAACAATTGAAGAATGGTCCACAAAGCCAAATGCCAATAAAGCTAAACTAAATAGGTGACAATGAGTAATATGATTTTATTACCATTATTAAAAAAAAAAAAAAAAAACATTACTGGAATTAAACTCAAAACAGGACATTTTTTTCCAGAAAACAGTCTAATTTTTATTATCATTTACTTCAATGTTCTGTTCTGAACGTGTTGCTTAAGACAAGACCAAATCCCCTCTTGAGAAAGCTCATTTAGCTAAGGCTCTGCATTTAATATGCGAGGAGCGAACAAATATTAGTACAGTCCAGCGTAGCAAAAGCAGGAGCTGTGTAAACCAGATAAACGACTCAACAGACATCCAATTTAAATGCTTTATGAAAGAGTAGTCAAAATGACAATTGCTATAGTTTGCAGCCATTACATTTTAATTTTACATGTAACAGTTTTGTTTTTTTCCGGTCATACTGAACACACAGCAAGAGCAGTGGAATTATTTATTTAATATTTCTGATGTTTAAGTGAAAATGTTGGGATTAGATTGCAGAACATTGTTGCCATATTGATTCATGTGAGGCAACAGCAGCCATTTCGTTCATGTGGAACCATGGTATAAAATACAGTTCTCAATAAAGGGCAAACAGTAACTGACAAAGCAATTTTCCACTCAAGGTCTCCATAATACATTACATGAGGGTTAACTCAAACCCATAGATCATTGTATGAAGTCCAAATGGTATTTCACAGGCTGAATGCCTTTCCAATGACAGGCTTGTAATTATAACGGAATTATGATGAAATAAAAACCTCAACTGCACTGCATGCATAGTCAAAATAATGAAAATAGGCGCAAAAACAGCAGAGAATTAAACCGTCTTGGATTATTTACTTTGCTTTCTCGATGTGTTAACTCAGAAAAAAATGACAATCTTTTTGTTGGGTGAAGCTGGAGGTCAAACAGTGGAGTTAAACAGTGGAGTCGGCATTGAGGCAATTTGTTTTGGCTCTCTAACCTGATGATAAATCACTTGGTCTTCACTTTAAAGCTACTTTATTTAAATATAATTGTAGTGACAAGTTGTACTCATTCCAAACAGGTCACAATAATCACATAACTGTCTGATTAATCAAGACCTTCGACTGAATTCTCTTCAATGGGTGCGTGATTATTTTCCCATATCTGTTTCTACATTGCAGGTCTGAACGTTGCTCTGGTAATGCCTCTGGATGCATGCAGAGAAAAATTTCCATATTAATTACTATAATCTCATTCTGACTAAAACACTGGCGCGTGAACACCAATTATTTTATAACTAATTCTAATATGCTCATATTCCAAGTAACAAATAATCTATTAAAGCTATGTGGACATTTATACACCTTAATTGCATTATTGTGTCCTATTAAGAGTTTCACGGCATATTATGATGCGCACAAACTGCTGCTTCATAGCGCAGTCATGACTGGAATTTTATTAAAGGTTCACATTGCAAAGTATGACATCAAACATACAAAGGTTATCCTGAACTATATAAAATGGAGCAGTTTGAAAGAGCTTAGTCCGGTAGTTTTCCCAGATATAGTGATGTGCACACTCAATGTAAACAAAACACTTGGCTGAATCAAAAATTCTAGAGAAAATAGTTGCAGGTCGGTTGTGTGAATATCTGCAAATAAATAATCTGTCTGAGGAGTTTCAGTCAGGGTTTAGAGCTCACCATAGCACAGAAACAGCACTGGTGAAAGTTACTAATGATATTCTCATGGCCTCCGACAATGGACCGGTGTCTACACTGGTCCTGTTAAAACTCAAGTGCTGCATTTGATACCGTTGATCACAATATTCTACTACAGAGGACAATGGGATTACAGGAATGGCTCTAAAATAGTTTATCGTATTTATTTGATAGATTCCAATTTGTAAATGTAAATAATGAATCTTCATCATACACCAGTTAGTCATGGAGTTACTCAGGGTTCAGTGCTTGGACCATTACTATTTACCTTATATATGCTTCTATTAGGTAAAGTTATTAAACAGCATGGGATAAATTTTCATTGTTATGCTGATGATAGTTATATTTATCCATGAAAAATTCTGTTTGTTTTTGCGTGCGTGTGATTCTGTTGTGACTTGGCGCTATATAAATAAACTGAATTGAATTGAAATTGAATCTGCAGAAAACCATGTGGAAGCTTGAGTCACATGACTGACCTACATTAAGCTGGCCGTAGTCTGTGTAGGTAAACAAATATGGCCGATAAGTTTAACATTTGACCTATTTTCAGTTACTTTTTTTTTGTAGGTAAAACAAAGTTTTGTTCTTCTTGACTAAAAAAAGGATTTTAAAAAAGTACAACAAATTACTCCAGCAGCAAAAAAAATTTTTTTTTTAAATCAGCAAGCAGTCAAAGGTAGCAAGTAACCAATTATCTGCTTGATTATGATAACGAGTCATTTTTCTCAGGAAGGGTGAAAGATGGATTTTAAAGTCAGATTGTACTTAAAAAGTGGCAGAAACGGTTTGAGTAAAACATGAAAGAGGCGAGCATAATAAAAACCTTGCAAATTTCCCTGCACACCTGCTGAGTGGCAGAAACAGAGGTTGAATACTGATTTTGTTCCCTGCGAGCTGGATTTAAACCAGGCGAGTGTTTGCCAACAAAACTGCTCAAGATTTAATTGTGAAAACAAAACTGAATGCAGGTTCAAGGGGTGAATTTCTGCCACTTTTGTAATTCTCATGAGTTAAAAACACTCACGAATCCTAAAATTTGAAGTAAAGTTGGAGTTTTGATTTTTTTGTTAGCTTTGAAATACAGCAGACGGTCTTGAAACTGAGAGAAATATGGACACAGTTCTAGACTTTGGCGCAGCGCCGGTGACATGCAAATCACGGTCTGAACTCGACTTTATTGTTTTTGGCCTCACGGTTGCAGAAATGTGTCTTAAAGTCTTTCATCAAACATCTGTCATCTCATCTTCCATCTCATCCCCCTCAGTTTCCCCCTCTGCCTCGCCTTCTTCCTCCTCTTCCTCCTCAGATGTCACGTCCGGCTCGTCCATCTGGGACACGCACTTTGGACACGAGCAGACAAACAGGTAGTTCTCCCTGGAAGGAAAATGCTCAGTCACAAAGTTGCACCCACAAAAATTGAAATAATTACCAGGATGCATAAATGTTATTCAAAAAAATCATCTTGTGATAAATAAGAACAAATATATACATATTACTGTTATATACAATCACGTGTTTCATCAAAGTTCATGCTCAATAATCCAAGAATAAAATCCAACATTATTCAGTCAGGTCATCTGGATGGCTTAGTTTTTTTTGAGACGTTTCGTCCTTCATCCAAAGGACTTAATCAGTCCAGGGAGCCACAGCAAACTGAGACCCACAAGCAGCAAACCCAACCAGTTTGATGGTGATAAGACGGTTTCTGGGGCCCGCCCTCTTCCCCATCAACTCCTCTGAGGCAGCCATAGCCAAAGTGGTCTCAAAGTTTGTTGTGGCTCTACAGTCTGATGAAGTCTTTTGGATGAAGGACGAAACGTCTTAAAAAAATAAAAATAAAAACTGTTCTGATGACATGACTGAACTTTGTTGAATTTTCTACCTGGATCATTGAGCATGAAATTTAATGTTTTGAACCACTTTAGCTATGGCTGCCTCAGAGGAGTCGATGGAGGAGAGGGCGGGCCCCAGAAACCATCTCATCACCATCAAACTGGTTGGTCCACTTAGGCCTGTTGCAATAAACAATAAATCAATTAATCACAATAAATGAAAATTATCAAACTCATTTTCATTTGTCGGCTTTATCGTTTCTTTGTGTCTCTCTCTTTCTACTGAAGACACTGGATGACAAAAAGCTCAACTCTGGTGCTCTTCACCGACTCCTCCATTTTTCTTTTCTCTTTAAAATCTGTTTTAACCGTCCAAAATCACGTTTTTGAATCGTTAAAAGCAGCAAAGCTACGAGCTAAGCTAACAGGCAGACCATGGGGAAAAAAAACTCCATCTTGCCGAGCTCCAAAGTTCACGGTTGAAACCCGTGCCTTCGTGTAAAAAGTTGTTTTTCTCTGCAAAAAGAAGCTGAGAACTTGTTTAATGATATATTTTTTTCAAGCTGTGTGAAAAATGCAATGCCAAAGAGCTCAAATCACACAGAGCGTCCGCCATTTTGAGAACTGAAAAACGGAACGATACATCCCATGTCACGTCAAGGGGCCTCCCTCCCATTTTCTTAAAGAGACACGCTGCTCGCTCCCTCACTATCCATCCTTCATTTCAAATAGTCTTATACTGCCATCCAGTGGTCAAAAAAGGTACTACACACAAAAATTAACCAACATTTCTTCTTAAATTTGACAATAATTAATAATTATTGTCAATTTTCTAACAATATTATCGTTTATCGCAATAATTTCTGAGACAATTAATTGCCCAGCAAAAATTCTTATCGTGACAGGCCTAGGTCCACTATGTGGGTGTGCTACTGTTTGTTGTGGCTCCTCAGATTGATGAAGTCATTAGGATGAAGGACGAAACATCTCAACAAAAAAGAAACCGTCCAGATGACCTGACTGAACTTCGTTGAAGCTCATGTTATTGTGAATACTGGTAACATGTGTAAACCACTGAGCCCATGCTGGGGATGACTCTCAGCTACTGCCATAGCAAATTTAGCTCAACATCTGTAAAACTGGTTGAGTTATAGCCTTTGCTGTGTTTCCCACATTCTTTGTGTTGGCTATGGTGGACATCTTGAATGGAAGAGTTGTAGACGTTCACCCACTGATTCATTCCTAAGAGTTTTATTACAATCTGTCCAGTGGTTCAGAAGATATTGTGCTAACAGTACAGACAAACACCCAGTTGTGCGCAAAAACATAATCGCCCTTTCATCTTCAGCAGAATGCAATAAAAAGCACTCTGCTCTTAATAAAACCTGGTGTTTCTTCTGCCGCTGCAGTGCGCTAAAGCACTCGACTGTTTAGCTTTGTAATTAATATGTGGCGCTTTTATTGCTTTAAATGAGCTGGCGTGATATGAACACCGACCTGGAATGAGAAAAATAATTTTAAGCCAGAGAAATAAAAATAAAAAATAAAAGAATGCAATTAAACTTTATCTCTTTCTGGTGCTTGTTGAGACTTGGGGAGTTGCAATTCAAAGGTGTGTTGACATCATGCTAATCAATAAGGAGCATAAACTCGAATGCCGTTTCTGCCCCAGGACAGCCCATCATCACCTGGCAGGTTGTTTCCTTGATCCAGGTAGAAACCATACGAGTGTGACCCAGGTCGGAATGATTTATCGGAGGGATTACAGGTGTTTACCTCAGAATTTTGTGCCTGCTGTGTCTGCTTCGGTCCCGCTGACAGCAATCCAAGTAACTGATGCAGATCTCCTGAAAATTGAAGAAAACACACCTTTGAGCTGGCTGAGGAGCCCCAATAACCCAAAAGTATACAGAGCTTGGCTTCAGGAGTATGCTAGTGGTGCCATTTTTCAGAATTGAAACATTGTTTGTTCTGGGGAAATGTTCACTTTTCACCAACATTCAGAGGAGAGCGTTGCTTTGGAAGCAGCACAGCTGCTGTGACGGTACTGCATCATGCAGAAGGGCTTCTCAATCTTTCTGACAGCTTGACAAACCCACTCCAATCCTGAAAGACTTCAGCCTTCTAATACCGTCTGACAAGGGAGAATGAGCTACAGAGGGATGCTCTGCCATTTATCCAGAGCGTGCATTTGTTACAGTGAATCCAGATGTGTCAGCTGACCTCTCCTGGGCTGATGTCACTCAGGGCGCAGAGGTGAAGCAGGAAATTATTGTCGGGGAAAGACGCCTCAGCGTTTGGGATGCAGCTGTGGTTACCTGGAAAGCTCAAACATAAATAAATTAATTGTACTGGTGGCACAGAATGAAAACCCTTAACTGAGTCTTAACTGGAGTTAGTGGGAAAGATCATATCTCTCCAGTTTTAGCTTCTCTCCATTGGCTCCCTGTCAAATTCAGAACTGAATACAAAATATTCTAACCTACAAAGCTCTCAACAACCAAGATCCATTTTATATTGTAGATCTTATTGTTCCATATTTTCCTAACAGAGCACTTCGCTCACATACTGCAGGCTTACTCGCGGTTCCTAGAGTTTCCAAGAGCAGAATGGGAGGAAGATCTTTCAGTTATCAGGCTCCTCTCTTGTGGAACCAACTTTCAGTTTGTGTCCATGAGGCTGACACATTGTCCAGTTTTAAGACTTTCCTTTTTGATAAATCCTATAGTTAGGGTTGGCTTCTTATGCTGCTATAGGCTTAGACTACTAGAGGACAAATTGACCTCATTTCCTTAAATGATTTGCTAAAATTGAATAGTTTTAATTTGAAATTATTTATATCTTAACATGTGATTCTTGACCTGCCATTGTGTATCTGTTCCTCTCAAACCCAGCCGGTCGAAGCAGATGGCCGCTTGTCCTGAGCCTGGTTCTGCTAAAGGTTTCTTCCTCATGAGGGAGTTTTTCCTTTCTACTGTCGCCTTCATGCTTGCTCAAGATGAGAGTTCTGCGATGGAGTTAAATTCAAAGCAGTCTGCTCCTCAAAATAAATAATGTTAAATCATTATTTTGTATATATGAATGTTTCTGTTCAGTGCCCTGAGATGACTTCTGTTGTGACTTGGTGCTACATAAATAAACTGAACTGAATTGAAAAAGCCGACAACATCACTAGAACTTACATGAGCTTTGGAGCAGAAAAAGTCCAGAGCCTTCACAGTTCAGAAAGTCTCCCGTTTCTGCAGAGAAAGACACAAATTTATGCATCTGCGCAGAAAACGAGAGCAGAGTCGCTGCTGAGAACTGCAACACAGACACTAACAAACACTCACTCAAACAGTCTGCTCAGCTGAGACAAAAACTTCTTCTTTTTTCAGAAAATTCTGCAGCACTGAGATAAAACTCTGACCTTTTTCGATGTCCTTGTACAGCTGGTCAATAAAAGAGTCCAACTGCTCCCTCTGCTGAGCGGGAAGCTCCAGTGCATCGCAGGCATGAACCCACTGACTCAAGGAACTGGAACACCAAGGAAGGGAGTTAAACTGAGTCAGAGTGGGGTTTGTTGATGCTGAGGCGGGGGGTTACCTGGTGCCGATGCCCTGACCGTTGGTTCCCACCAGAGCAAACAGAGAGCAGAAGCCCTCAGGCACAAACCACTGAAAGACAGTT